TTTTTTTTTTTTTTTTTTTTTTTTGCTGATATATCTTCCTGGAGGGGAAAGCATGCAGCAAAATTTTGTCTCTCACTAACAGCTTACTGACGGCCTTGAACTTAATTCAGATCTGCCAAGTGAAATCTAGTCTGGGCAAAGCTATATCACTTTGGGTAGCTTAATTCCACTCCAATTCTTCACATTCCTCTCTTCAGTGCCTAGGAAGAACATCTAAGGGCAAGTGTCAGGGTCACTGGCTATGGGACCTCATGGCTACCCAGTCTGCCATGCTTCTTGTAATGTTCCAATGTAGTGACATCACAATATGCCCTTGGTGGCTAATACAGCAGCCACAGAAAGGGCAGCAAGGAGCTGACTTCCCAAGAAGGGCAAGGCAGCAGCATTATCCTGATCATATTCCAAGGAAGTAAAACGACTATCTTGAGGAAACCCCAGAATACGGGTTTATTTCTAAAGAAACAGTCAGAATTTCCAAACATCAGTGGAAGGAAAAGACTGTGGAGGAGGAGAACACTTGATTATCACTGTAATACCAACAATAATTTTGTAAGTAGTAGCTGCGGATGCATTGTAATTAATGGGGCAGGGCCACTCTTACTCATTCTTACCACTTGTTGTTACTTACATATAGGCTTGACAGAATTTGTTTTTTAATTTTTAAAAATTTTCATAACTAAAAATCGATAGTTATTTTTAAGCATTCATTTTGCTTTTTATCAATATTAATTTTTAGGGGAATGCAGGCATCCCTGGCTGCACTGCCTGCTTACAGTTCCATTGGCAGTGGCTCAAGCAGCTGCTGCAGGAGCTGGGTGCCATGCTAGTTAGGCTGTGGGGGGGGGGTGGGGGGGAAGGCTATTGGCAGCTGGGACCTCGGTGCTGCCAGCCATGGCTCTGCAGGTGTTTGGCCCATGTGTCTGTATGCATCTGCACTTGCATGTGTGTGTGCATATGTACATGTCTGCATGTGTGTCTCTCTCCAGGGACACTTGGCCGCGAGTGTGGCCACTGCTGGAGCAGCCCCTGAGTGGGTGAGGCCCTTCTGCTGCCTCCTGCCAGCACAGGTGGATTAATGCACAGGCCAGCGGGGCCCCTGCCAACCAGAGGCCCTGCTTGCTTGTGGTTCATTGCTCATCGCCAAGGACGTGAAAGCCGCAGTTTTAAGCCTGACTCCATTTTTGTCTCCTTGCTGATGGGCAGCAGGGCTGCTGGGGCCCCTCAGCCAATCAGCAGCGGGAAGAACCCAGCATTCATTCCTGCCTGTGGCAGGGGGTCAGGCTAGATGATCTGTGCAGGTCCCTCCTGACCCTAGCTACTATGAAACTATGAAGACAAAATATGGTGCCAGACTTAAAACCATGGCTTTTGCTTCCTGGCTGAGGAGCAAACTGCAAGCATGGCCCCTCCACCAATCAGCGGCAGGGGGCATGCAAGGGAACCTGCAAAATTAAGAGTGCAGTCGCACACATGGCAGTCACTGCCCTGCAGGTAGGTCTGTGAGGAGGAAGAAGCATCGGGGCAGGGAGTCAGATTGAGGCCCCCATGGTGAGAGAGTGAGTGGGGCAGGGGCAGATACTGCCCAGCCAGGATGGTGAACAGAACCCTGGGGCTGGGAGCAGGATGGAGCCACAGGTGGCTTGTCCAGGGGGTATGGGGGGTAGGGAGAGGAGGCACGGGGGTGGGAGAGGTGGCTTCCCACTGCTGCATGCACCCCTGGGGGAGGCATGGGGGGGCATATGCCCCCCCCCCCCGATTTGTGCATGGGGCAAGGGTGGGCTGCCTGCTGTGGGCTTGGGGCCTAGGGCTGTGCTGGGCTCTTCCCAGTGTGGGGGCTGGGTTGGGGCTGCGCTCAGAGTGGGCAGGGGTGGGGTAGGCTTAGCTGTGCAGGGTGGGCAGTGGTGGTGCTGGAAGGGGTGGCTATGGGGGTACTACCGGGAATTTTGGGGTGGGTATATCTGCCCCTCAAGCCCCCCCCACACAGTGCCACCACTGCTCACGGCACTCCACAGGACTCCTGAGGAAAAGGCAGCAGACCAGAGTGCCCTGAGCAGGGATGGCGATTATGGAGGGCTTGGTTGGGGCTATAGCCACCCCAAAATTCCTCATAGCTCCCCCATAGCCATCTCTCCCAATGCTGCAATCACCCACCCTGCACAAATGAGCCTGCCCCAAGTGCAGCTCCAGCCCAACCTACCCCCCCTCCCACACACACACTGGGAACAGGCTGGCACAGCTCCTGATCCCAAACCCACAGCAGGCAGCTTCCCCTCACCCTGCACAAAAATCAGGGGGCACATGCCCCCCATGCCTTTGCTGGAGGTGTGCACAGTGGCAGGGAGCCGCCCCCCACCTCCCTGTGCCCCCTTTCCCTACCCTCCCCATGCACCCTGGACGAGCTGCCCGCAGCTCCATCCCGCTCCCAGCCCTGGGGTCCTATTCACTGCCTTGGCTGGACAGCACTTGCCTCTGCCTCTGACTGCCCCGCCTCCACCACACCCCTTCCCTCTCCCCATGCCTCTTCCCCCCACAGACTTACTGGCAGGGCACTGCTCTCCAAGCTGCCCATCTGCATTCTTGGCTGTGTGCATGGGGCATTTACTGGTGACATTAATTGGCTACACTGGCCAAAAAAAGCAGATAGTCGATAAATTTTCCTTTTATCAGTGCCAATCCGATATGCAACCTAAATATCAGTGCACCTCTAGAGGGGGCCCCTAATTTAGTGTTTCCCAGGGCCCCAATAAATTTTAATCTGCCTCTACCTCCCAGTGAGCCCCTGCTGTAGTGGACAGGTTTCACCTGCATGCTCATTCAGGGCCTGGCTCATCCTCTGCCGGCCTGGAGAAGTGCCAGAGGGGCAGCCCTGGGCCCCTTTGTTTCCTCCAACCCCATAGGGCTGGCTGGGAGCCAGGGCTTTCTCTGCTGCTGGGGCACAGCCCTGGCCTCTGTCCACCCCCTGCTTCATGTAGGTCCTGCAGTGAGGACCTCAGTCATAGTTAGTACCACTTGTCCTGGATTTCCTAACTGGCATCCCAGATGCTTTTTGCTTACCTCCTCTTTCAATGATTACCAATGGAAATATTTTCCATCAGTCTGTGAGTATCAGACAAAATCAATACTAATCAATAAAAATCGAATTTTGACAAGCCTTCTTATATAGAGTAATCGTTTTGCAGGACAAGGGGCTAGATTTACAATGGAGATGTCTGTAACTTGGCAGCAGCATGCCCCAGAGCAATGTTCCCAAGCACATCCTGCCTGCGTGCTTCAAAGCTGGAAATGCCACCAGCAAGCCCACTCTGGAATCATCCCCACAGGCCACTCTTAAACATGCCAGAGATGCAGAACAGCCACAGTGATAGGTCTCAGAGAAGCCTCAGAGGTGCATTTCTGGGTTTGGAGAATATGAGCAGGAATGGGTAGGTAGGGCATGTTTAGGGATGCCCCAGCTGGGCAACACTGCTGTTGTGAAGAGACATATGTGAAGAGACTTTAGCAGGACTTAGGTGCTTAATGGCTGCTTTTGTTGAAAAAGTCTAAAGTGTAGATCTTCAGAACACCTGCTTGTCTAACCCTAGCACTGCAAGTTCCTAAATTCCCTTGAAAGCTAAATACTTGACATTAAAATTACCTAATGCAAAATATTTTGTCTTTATATGTGTCCACTAGTACTCTAGTCTTGACAGGACTGAACAACTCAACACCTGTCTCACATATAAGCTAGCCTTATATGTAATACTGATCCACAAAGTAAGAGCTTCTCTGCCCATCCCATTCATTAGGTGTTGCTAAAGCACAAATGTGGTGCCTCCTTTTATGGCACTGCATAGTGACACGTTCCCCACGAGTCATCTTTTCAGGAGGACCACTCCTTTGTTTCTGGGAAAAAGAGCTTCAGCACCTAACTCTAGAAGAGTTAGGGCTCTGAGCCCTGAGTGGAGGGAGATGCCTACACAAAATGGTTTTTGGTACCTTCACCATGATTTAAGTGGACTTCGGGGGATAAATCCAAATTGCAATCCTCAAATTCCTGCTCAACAGCCTTCTAACCTTTGAAGCACAAACAAATTTAAGGTAAGATTGTACCTTAAAATTAGGCCAGGTTAAGATCACTTAAAACTTGAATGATCACATATTAAGGATTGTTAAGAAGTGCTAAGTGACCTTTAGGCATTTTTAAAAGTGACACCACTTGGGCAAGGATTATCTTTGAGCTGTGCTACCAAGCTTGAACTTAAGTTCTGTGTGTTCACCTGAACCCTGCAGGGGTTGGATATGGGTGTATAGGGGCAACATAGGGTGCAGAGAGCCTGGGAACAGGAGGGGGAGGGGAACCCTCCCCCCACCCCCTGAGCTGATGCCTCTGCCACTGCTTACAAGTTGATTGGGTTGGCAGATCCATGGGTGGAAGTGCTGATCAGGGAGTTGAAGGAGTAACTGGGAGTTGATTGGATAGCAGGGTGAATTGGGAACCAGAGGAGGTGATCCAAATGATGCAGGGGGCCCCTGGCCTATACTGCGACTAAAGATCCAGTGAGCAGAGCAGGCATGGAACAGACTTGCAGCCCCTAGCCATGACCCTGCTTGCCAGCCCTCTAGTGGTAGGACTAAGAAGTGCACAGTAGAGTGGCTATTAACCCCAATGTGTGACTCATCATTAGCACTTGATAACCTTAACACAAACTAACATTTCTTGGAATTATTACCTGCTAACTCTAATGTTTAATCTTAACCTTAATCTCATCATTTCCTATTGGCTAGCTCTAGGCACGTCTCTTCTTAGCATGCAAGATATTTTGGATTACCCTTCTAAGGCACCTGCCTCTCCTCACACTCTGTCCCAGGTCACTTAACTCTGGGCTTGCAATTTCACTTTGGAACCAGATGCCTGCAAGTTAGGCAATGCAGCATTGGTACTTTGTGTGTAGGCACCAAAGTGTTTTATTTCATCTAGCCTCAGTCCCAAGGAGGGGTTGGGTTTATGCCTGTCCTCAGCAGTTCCTACTGGCTGCCTTTAGCAGCTCCCCATTCACTGTGCTTCTTTTATAGGTCCCACGTTTAGGTACCTAACTTTTTCCACATGTTATGAGGAGACCTAGAGGATAATATAGATGTTGGAAACTCCTCAATGCATCTAAAATTTAGGCGGGGGTTAATGCTCAGAGTTGTGACACCCAAATTCCCTCTGGGATTCTAGCCCTCAGTCCATGAGCCAAGGCTCTTACAAACATCAACAAAAGATATTAATATGTTAATGAGACAGGAGAAGAAAATACACATAACAGTCAGACAGTTGACATCTCATAGACACATAACACATTACTGCATACACACTCATGCTGTCACAGCAAAATCACCCCAAATATTCATTTGTCATTGGAGTAAAATCATATCTTCCATTTGCTTTGGGAGCTTACCACTGGCCTCTTGAGTATAGCCTACTTCTGGGGCTTCTACCTGCCCCGCCTTCAAGCCAGCACTGTGAGGTTATAGAAATTTTGTTTTAACTTTCCAGGCCAGTACTGAATAGACCCAATCAGGAAACCAACCCCCCAGGACTGTGCCACCTCCCAGTCACAGCCACAGTCCAGAGATGGGAAATTCCCACCTGGCAGATGATCCAGGCTTACCACCAGATCCACTCTCACACGCATGGGGGGCAGAAAGAGAAGACAAGGAGAAGGAAAAGCAGAGATGTCACAACATAAGGAAGACCCTGAGCTCCATCTTGCTGTTAGGAGTTATGGTCTTTGAACTGGATGAAGGCTGTTTGCTGGACAGCCTAATAGGGGAGCCTCCTCTCTGGTACATGCTGTACTCCCTGCTACTTGGAAAGGATCTCCCTGTCCAGCGTCAGAGAGAGAAACACTATCACCACTAATGGGGCTCTGTGGGGCCAAACCAGAAGGAAGATGAACACTTTAAATGCATGGCTGTGATTTGAAGAGCATTTATTATTTAGAAACTTACTTCTACAAGAAATATAATCTATGCTGTTTTTTCTGGAAAGATCTTCAACACACCTACGCTATACATATGTCCACCCAATAAAATGTTATTAATCAGTTTGGTCTTTCCCTGTGAAATTCTTTCAAGACCAGGAGACAAAAAACACGCTGGGATCAGAAAGACCACCTTTAGGAAGGAGGTTGTTATGGTATATGGCTCTTCCCACATGACATTCAACATTTGCAATGCACAAGTTTCCTCAAAACAATACATTTTTAAACACATATGAAATGCCTTTGCAAAATCAGGCAAAGCTAAATTCTGTTTGTTCATGCAAAGCATTTTTGTATAGGACACTGGCATTTGTATGAAGCATCTTTACATGGGTATGAATATCTGTCCTATACTCATGTACATGGCCTCTGCTATCCACAACAAGTCCCTGTAGAACCCTACACATGCGTCACAGCTTGATTTTAAGACAATGTAAGGATGATGTGTACACAAAATGTACACCCAGTTTTGCCTAATTTGCATAAGGAATGCATAAGCAAATAGAGTAAGGTCACCTTCCCATGGCTAATTAGACACCTGCACTGGCAATTACCTACCTTCTGCATTTGATCACTTGGTAAGGTAACTACTGGGCAAGCACATGTCTCAACATTGTCAGTCAGTGGCCTCATGATGTCAAGATATTCAATGGAGAAGGGCAGACAGAAATGTGCTTTCAAGGAGCAGTTCAAAGAAGGCCTTCACAGTAATTTGAAGAGTTTTCTTCATGCTAATTTACTGAACTGTGCAAATATTTTTTCTATAACAGTCCTTCAGAAGTGCAAAAAAATCCTATCACGTCCCTGCCCCCTCCAGGCAGCTTTTCCTGAGGAGACTCTGCATCCTCATCAGTGAGATTTTTCTAATCTATCTCCTTTTTTTTATTAACCTTTATGCCTCTATAATATTCCCACTAGACTTCACATGAGTCCTGAAAGGTCAGAGCTCCTCACGGCTGGCCGACATCCCCAGGGATGAAGCTCAGAATCGTCATATCTTATGTGAGAAGATTCTGACACCTCAGTGTTCCCAAAGCCTGCATTAGCTTTGCTAGAGCCAGTGTTTGTGGCCAGACTAAGTGGTTACATATTAATTCCCTGGCTTTTTATTCTCTGCTTTCTCTTCTCCCCTCCTCCACTCTAACACATTTTTCCATTTCTATAATTTCCTATACCCTCTCCACCTCTTTGCTCCATCTTTTCCTCTCTTCTTCTTCATCTGCACTGTCAGTCTTCTCTGCTCCCTCCCCTTAATGTCCCTCTTATTGCCTCCATCTGTGGTTCTTCTTTTCCCTTTTGTTCCTTCTCACTCCTCAAAACCCTTCCATTCCCCTTGTTTTCTCTTGGGCCCCTCTGCTCAATCCAGTCAGAAATCTTTTAATAGCTTTCCCCATCTGCACCCTACTTGGTACAGGACATTGCCCATATAAGGCTGCTTGCACTGGGCAGCACCTACTCTAGTGGGGCTGCTCACCAAAGTATGTGTTATTTAAAATGAGCAAGGACTTACAGAATGGAGCCCAAGTGATATCTCCATGGTAACATCAGATTGGGAGGCACCAGTTCTGCCCCATGAGCAGCTGGGGTATGCTCCTGGGAGAAATAGGGAAACTAGTGGATACAGAGTATCTTTTGCTTTCCCCATCTGCCCTTGCATTCCCCTGTTCCTTCTGAGCCTCAATTTAAATTACAGCCAGAACTCCCAGTGTTCAAATACCACTTAATCAGAACGAGGAAGGAAATGAAGCATCAAGAGACAGTTAGCCCATTCATGTCTCTGGCTTCCCACTCGGATGTGAACTCCAGGTCGTTCAGATGAGAGGGGAAATGAATCACAGAAAATATCAGAAGCCTGTCAGATTTCACCCCCCACTGGGCCCTGTGAATTTGCTCTTCAATAAGCCTGTGTCCAGAATAGAGTCCAATGATGTTATCAGTATTATTAAGGTTGAATGCTTCCAATTCCTATTGTGTCTCCTCTTGATATGGGGAAAAGCTGAAGATCTTCAATGTCACAAGTCTTAAAGGAAACACTTGACTATAACTCTTTCAACAATTCCATTTCCAACAGTGTCACACAAACAACTGTCCAAGGAGGAGAGCGCAGGTGTGATGTGTAATGGGAATGCAGTCTCTCTTTAGTCTAATACTGGAGTGCTTGCTTAGCCCTAGCCAGTGCAACGGTAAGCTCTGATGGAATCTCTAGCTTGACTTTTAAATCAATTGCCAAGTCTGTGCATGGTTCACATAATAGGCCAGTAGGTTTAGGAACTTTATCACAGGCTAATGGTCTCCCCAGGTTGGCAACCAAAGGCTAGGAGGCAACATGAATATAGTTCGGTCTTCAGCTCTGCCACTGACTTCCTATAAAATCTTGGGCCCCTTTCTGTACTGTGTCTGTGGATTATAATACAGAAATGCTACTCAAAGGGTACATGTGCCCCTGACTACACAGTTTCATAGTTTCATAGTTTCTCGGGTCGGAAGGGACCTGAGAAGATCTAGTCCGACCCCCTGCCATGGCAGGAAAGAGTACTGGGGTCAAACGACCCCAGCAAGGTGTTCATCTAACCTCTTCTTAAATACCCCCAGGGTAGGAGCCTGCACCACCTCCCTTGGAAGTTGGTTCCAGACCCTAGCTGCCTTGACCGTGAAATAGTGCCTTCTGATGTCTAACCTAAATCTACCCTCTGCTAGCTTGTGGCCATTGTTCCTGGTCACTCCTGGCTGTGCTGTTGGTACTGTGTAGTCATTTAGTACTGCTTTAGCTGCCGGTACTGCACAGTTCCAGCAGCGCACGGGTTGTTTCCAACCCTACACTGCCATAGCTCATTGTTATAGCATTGTAGTGTCTCATGTAGGCACACCCAAAGTGAATCAAGGGTCCACTCAAGCCAAATGATGCATTGGACCAACATGGTTTAGGCATGGGAGTTTCTGTAGCTATCACCACACAAGACAGCTATGTGGCCAGCATCATGCCCAGACACCCTGGATTCCCCATCCTGAATGACCAGGTGCCCATTTGCAGCTGGGTTGCCAGGGGATGCCTTTGGTATGAGCCTAGGGTCCTATGTCTGAAGCTAGAGCAGAATTCTATGCCACTACACCCCAACACTCAGTGTGACTAAGGCTTGTAAAATCAGGCCCGCCATGGTGTTTTACTCTCTTATACAAGGACTCCACTGGACTAATTCAAGGGCAATTATCACCTTCCAGTTGGCATTATGTTCTCTTTTCCAGCACTGCCTCCTGCCTTCCTCCTCTGTTCTGGTTGAAGAGCAGCTGCTGTCACAAGGCAAGAGTGAGGTATAAGGAGGATTACCTAGTCTCCTCACATTGCTACAGCTGCTCCCCACTCAGAACGAACATACAGCCTTCCACAGCCCTTCTGCAGTTACCAGTGCTCCCTGGCACCACTTGCTGAAGGGAAAAGCAGGAGCTCTTTTGCCAACTGAGCCCTTGCTTCTTACTGATACTCCACATAAAGGACAAAAATGACCCTTCTGTAGAAGGTAGCACAAAGCTCATGCCCCATTTAAGACCTACCTGAACCTTGTGGCAGCTGTAAACTATACTGAGGTCTGAAAATGGAGTTTCCTTAAGGTTTGGTCACATGAGGGTGGCATAAAGCCAACTCTGCAGTTCACACGCTCTTGTGTTCTGAACTTGGCCCCACGGATCATCCTCAACATATACAGAAAGTGTAATTCACATATAGGCAGTTGTAGAATCATAGCCTCATCAAAAGATTCCCTCCCCCCCTTGCAGCTTGCCATATAGATATAAAAGTGTCGCAAAGCTTTGCTTTGCAACAGCTAGTATTACAACTACTGGCATTCAATATTTAGAGTAGATAATAGATGCAGCTCGTATATGACAGTCTAGACACCATCTGTCACAGAAGTGAAGAAGGCTTTATGATTTAACTGCTTAATTGAGTATGGCTGCCCAAATTTACCAAGCAGTCCTGACTATACAGAGCAGGAAATATTTCTGCCCAGAGACAAAAACCCACAATAACACGGGCATTAACTGAGGCCAACTCATAGTTTTGTAAGTTCTGAACTAGTAGTATCCGCAGAGAGCTAACTTTCATCTCAAACCTGAGGGATAGGTGTGACAGCTTCTCTGTTGTATTTAAGCTACCTTCTTACTTCCCAAGTCATTGGGAGACCATTTAGTCAGGCCAACACTACTGTAGGTGTAATTTTGTCTATGCCTCAAGTGAAACTCATTATTTATCTGATATTCTTTGAGAAACCATGTCACTGGAAAGCAACCATGGATGTGGAAGGACAAGAGGATACAAACTACACCTCTTACATCCACACAACAAAAACCTACAGAACAAGAAGACCTGTTATCACCAAAAAGCTTAGGCTTCATGAACTCATCACAGCTGTGAAACCTGTAGGTTTTGATAAACAAAAGGCCTTTAAGGTGGGTAAGGTTCAATGGTTGCTAACCAACAGGGGTGACATGTAGGAGGTGCAAACAGGTGCACATGAGCCCTCTGAGTGTGGTGGTGCACCCACTACAAAAAGGCGCTGTCGACACATGCTGCTCGCCATTCCTCTTCCCCCGCCACCACTGTCTGCAGCCAGTCAGTGATCCTTGCTGGCCACTGCTGCCGCTGTTGGCAGCGTCTGCAGGTGGTCTCCGCCCCCTGGTTGGCACTCGCCACTCTGTCCCCACCACCACCAGCACCGGCGATGTCTGAGGGAGCTCCCTGCTTACTCCTGCGGCACTCCTGCCGCTGTTGTGCCCCCCTAGCCCCCAGTGTCATTCATGCCAACTAGCGTCTTCCCATGTGTCTGCAGATAAGCCAGAAACATGAAAAGTGAATGCAAAACCACAGTGATCTCTCTCAGTACTAGAGGTTTTTGAATTTGGAGTCCCAGGGCAGGGGTCCAAGTAAGCAACCACCTACCTGCAAGCTAAAGTCAGGGAGAGAGTCTTCAGTGGGAGTAATATAGCACAGCAGCAGATACATGGTACCTAGCATCATTCTAAGGCAGGGGCAGGCAAAATATGGTCTGCAGCCGCATCCGGCCAGGCCA